TTCAGATCACAAAGATCAAATATTTTAAAGCAATTAATAATATTGTATATTTGATTTTTTTAATATCACAAAGTTTAATTATACTATTATTATTTAAGTAGATACTGTTTGTATAAAAATTAAAGAGAATCTCACGTGTATCTTAGATCTCAACGCCAACTGTAATACTTACATATGAGTATTAGTTGAAATAAATTTCATGCATGAGCTTAACTTATATGATCCTACTTTAATCGGATTAGATTATTTTATTTTATTTTTACACCCAAACTCTTCCACAAAACCAAAAGAGAGTAGCAATGATATAACTATATATATCCACAGAACCATAGATATCTTAAAAATAAATGAAGAAAACCACACAAATAAAAACCATATTAATTACCCCCCCCCCCCCCCCCCCCCCACACACACACACACACACACTCACTATTTTCAAAACAACCATTCTCCATCTTCATTTATAATATATCCACGTACCCAAATTAAGCTGCTGGAGTTTTCCCTACTAACTACACCATTGATCAACCCTCCTTTTTCCTTTGTACTTAAATTGTATAGCATTCATTACGATGATGACTCACATGGGTCCTATGCCTGCCTTGAATACCCAAAAAAATATTGTACTAGGCATTATAGTTGGTTAATAATGAAATCCTGTCATTATAAACAAATTAAGTAATTAAAGATTAATAATTCTTAAGAATATACTAAGTTCCCCTAGTTTGCATTACAAACTTGTTTATTCCTAGCCCCAAGAGATTTTCAAATTAATCTTGAGAGTTGCTTGCATTAAAAAAGCTATGTTAGAGGGCCGATACAGTCTATTTTATAGTTTAAGATTGTCAACACATTTTGTCTCTAATGCATATTAATTATGAGTAATAATATAATTTGATTGATCCAAGTATATCCTCAACACATTTTGTCTCTAATGCATATTAATTATGAGTAATAATATAATTTGATTGATCCAAGTATATCCTAATATATTTCTGGATCCAAGTATATCTTAATATATTTCTAGACTCTTGTTTTGTCTTTTGCTCTTTATTATATTCAACTTTATATCATAATTGATATAGATGTTAAAGACACTACTGTAAAATTGTTTAGGAAATAAAATAAAGGTGAAGAAGGATTGATCTCAACTGAGCTTATACAAGCCATCTTAATATTAAGTATTTGGTTAACAAATGAACAATATGTTATTGTATTTTTTTAAACTTAACACTATATTTAATGACTAAGATAAACAAATTAGAGATCAATTATTTGATCCGATAAATAAATATGTTACATGAAGTTTGATATATACAAATTTAAAAGAATAATATTATGTATGCAAATATATAAAAGTGTCTTAATCCCAGTTTTACACACAAATCTATTTCATAAAATTTTAAAAAATATTTAAATAAAATTTATGGCAAATGTAATTATCCATGTTTATAGATTTTAACTCAAAATGAATCTATCTAATTTTATAGTAAGAAAATAAATAAAAAATTTAATAATTTTAATATTTAACTACGTGCATTGCACGTGCATAAGAACTAGTTCCTTTTAAAAGTACGAGTTCGAGAAAATTTTTCCATGATCAATATTACCCTTAACTTTTTTGAATATTACATTGTTATCCTAATCTATTCTAATTATCCTATCTTCTTTGAATTGGTAATTAAATAATTTATCCTATTTATAATGAGATTTAACATGTTATTGGATAAATAAGATACGTTTGATATAATTCAAATCCTTTACTTATTTCAGTTTGTAGATAAATATAAAAAACATGCGCTAGCCACCACCTAACAGCTTTTGAACTTTATAAAAAATATCCTCCAAGTTTTTTAAATTAAAAAAATACCCCTATAAATTCAAAATTTTATTAAAACATTTTAAAAATTATAAATTTTACTTATTTTAATTTAGTAAGAAATCTAAAAAATATATGGTAGCTAGCAAATGAACGTTTTTTGACTTTGGAGAAAATATCTTGTAAGTTTTAAAAATTATAGAAACACCCTTAAAAATTCAAAATTTATAAAAAGTCTCTTTAATATTTTAAACATGTAAACACATTAAAAACTGACAAGTAACACAAACAACCCTAAAATTTATGGAATTTGTAATAAACACTCTGAACTTTTTATAAACTGTAAAATAAAGCCCTCAAAATTATAAAATTTATGAAAATCCTAATAATTTTCAACTTAACAGTACATTAAAAATAAATGAATTATAAATATCCCCTACTTAATTTATAATTTAAGAAAGCACCCTTAAAGTTTTAAAAATTACAAACAAACCCTCAAAATTCAAATTTTATAAAAAACATCCTAAGATTTTTAAACTTATTAGTAAATTGAAAACATAGGAATTATAAATAGTCTATAAATAATTTACAATCTGTAAAAAGGCGTATAAGTTAAAAAAATTATAAAAAACCCCTAAAATTCAAAATTTGTAAAAAAAACCATGAGAATTTCTAATCTATAGATACTAAAATGAATATACAAAAGTACTAATAACCCCTAGAAAATTAAAAATTTATAAAAAATATCATACTCTTTTTAAAAGTATAGATTTAGGAAAAAACTTTTCATGGTCAATATTACCCATAACTTTTTTGAAAAGAACATAACTAATTAAAATTTTATTAAGTTATAAAATTTATAAAAAACACCTTTAAAGTTTAGTATATTACAAATTACCCCTCCAAAGTTTAAAAATTTCAATGATTTTTTGTAATTCCTTAATTTCAATGTAATGTTTAATAGTTTTTTTGTATTTATAAATTACAAAATTTTAGGGTGTTTTTTTATAATTTTTAAAACTTTGAGGTTTTTTCTCTTATAGTTTTCTAAATTTTCATTGTACTTTCAGTGTCATGTATAGATATGTCAATTAATGATGATATTGAAGTGTAAGTCATTCTTAAGATTATTAGGCCATAGATAAGTGCACACATCACTATTCCTAGGCAATATAGTGTATATATGCAAAAAATTCTGATAATCTATATAGTGGTTAAAAAGATTTTTGTCTTTAAGGTACTATATTTTATAAATTATAATTAATGTGAACTCACTATATAATTTTGACTGTGGTCATTATAATTTTAATACGTTTGATTGATTGATTATATAAGTATATAGGCCATATATTACTTTACTTTCTCACATGAACTAATATTTAGCACTTAATAATTTAAATTATTACTTTTAAGTTTAATATAAAGATGAGCTCTAATAACATTTATTTATTTACCTACAAGATAATACAATCTCAGTTCCTATTTTTTACTTGAGATTTATTCCATAGTTACGCGTATCAAATTAGTAATTAAAATAATTATTATTTATGCTTAAATTAGGATGATTCTAGTTGGTCACTCACTATGAAATATTTATGAAGATATATACCTTACTTTCTATAGCTATTTGCACTCCCCATGTATATTTTATAAATTAGTTGTTAATTTGATATTTTAAGTTTCCTTTGTAGAAATTTTTTTCTTTGACTTTTGGATTGTGTAATCAATATATCATTATTCTAGCGTAGAAATGACCTCACTCTAAATGGTTTCAAGTCAATGTTTGAGTTGAATTGAAGTATATATACTATTGCTACTATGTGTATATATTTTTAAGAAAATCATGTCAACACTTTTTAAACAGAAAAGAATATTCTAAATTCTGATATTATAAAAACTAAATATAGTCAATTGAGTAATTAGCAAAAGAGAACTTATTTCAGAAAAGCGTGCCTAATATGATAAAGACCTGATCACCCCACAAGCGTTCCTATTCATCTTTTCACATACCGCCTCTTCTTATTTTGTTAGCCTCTCATGGACCATGATGGTCTCCTCCGAATTTTGAGCATTGAGCGCATCCTGAACATCGTTCATCCACAACCTAAAATTGATCTTGCTGTCATATTTAACCACACTAATTTTAGTATTTAAAAAACTAACTTGAACTGTACCCGTCATCTTGTTGCTTTCACCAACTTCTTCACCCATACTCACAAACTCTAAATTATAGAGAAAAATTCAAACTTGATAGAATTTAGAAGTTACCTAACTGAATCCTAGAGCGGATTCCAAAATAGATCTCCTAGCTACACGAGGAAAGCAAAATATTCAACGGCAATCCCAAACACTATCTCCACCGAAGCCTAGAACTCCAAGAACCAAGCTTCCATGACGAATCTTCATCCACCTAATGCCAAAACCCTAGATCTGAAATCTGAGCTCTGATACCAATTGTTACGTGCCTTTGCGGAAACGTGCTCGACAACCAAACGAGTCCGTGAGTCACGGGAGAAGATTACCAAACCAAACACGAGCACAATCCAATCCAAAAAACGACAAATCAAACTAAACACAGAGATATACGTGGTTCGACAATTTGCCTACGTCCATGGGGAGAGGATGGAAAGATTCCACTAAATCAAGAAGAGTACAAATGGTTACAATCTCACAGAAGCTCACAAATAAACCCTAAACCAAAGCTCCCTCCTTACTCATAAGCTCTCCCTCTCAATATGCTTAGTACAATCTCAAATCTCTGATACTTAACCCTAGAAAATCGTATTCCTATTTATATCAAAACAAAAACCCAAACCAAACAGGAAACAAAAACAGACCTGAAAACCGTCGTAAGTCAACTTATCAGTGGGAACAAGTCGACTTACCATAAGTCGACTTAACAGTCTCTATAAGTCGACTTGACCGAGCGCAAAACAATAACTGGAGTACAGAACGTAAGTTAACTTAACAGTCTCTATAAGTCGACTTGACCGAGTGCAAAACAACAACTGGAGAACAGAACGTAAGTCGACTCATGCATAGACACAAGTCGACTTACCATCAGTCGACTTATGCATGTGCATGAGTCGACTTATAACAAAAAAAACTGGATTTCTGAGTTCTCCACAATGATTTTATGAGTTCTCCACCCTAAAACCAAAACCCCAGATCCAATCTCAACAGACCGACAATGTTAGGCCGAGGAAAGGGCGGGAAGGGCCTAGGCAAGGGCGGGGCAGAGCGTCACAGCAAAGTCCTCCGTGACAACATCCAGGGCATCACCAAGCCGGCGATCCGCCGCCTTGCCCGCCGAGGCGGAGTCAAGAGGATCAGCGGGTTGATTTATGAGGAGACGAGGGGGGTTCTGAAAATTTTCCTCGAGAACGTGATCTGCGATGCCGTGACGTACACCGAGCACGCCAGGAGGAAGACGGTGACGGCGATGGACGTCATTTACGCTTTGAAGAGGCATGGCAGGACTTTGTACGGATTTGGTGGTTGAAAGCCGAGTCCTTTTTTTCCTTTTTAAATGGTGCTTTTGATGTTGGTAGATTTACTCGGTTTGTTCAAGTTTTAGTATTTGGATCCATGTGTATTGCTGGAGTTTATGTTCAATCATGCGAAATGCTTGAAAATTTTAGTGAAAAATTGGTTAATTTCACGATAGCCCCTGAACTCTCGGGGGGCTTGTTCTCAACCACTGAAGCATGTGTTGTATAACAAGCATTGTGTGGACTGTCGAAAAATCTGATACCATTTGTTTGTGAATTATCACATTGTTGGGTTTTTTTTTGTTTAATATTTTTCAGCCTCCAATCTCATAATAATCTTTTTATTTGAAAAATTCTTCAAAAGGACTAAAAATATGGGACCAACAGGGGGGACATGTGAGGTGTCCCCCTTCTATTGCATAATGAGCTGGTCATCATTAAATGATGACCAGCTCATTATGCAATAGAAGGGGGACACCTCACTTGTCCCTCCTGTTAGTCCCATATTTTCGGTCCTTGTAGCAAAACTCTTTTTATTTTGCAAACTTTTTCTTGTGACAACGACTCTCACCTCGTTGCTGTTGGTTGGAGGCTGTACAGGGGTGGGGTCAATTTTGTTATTGTTGATCTTCCTTTGTTGGTGCTCTCGTTTTCAACTCAATTAATTAGCACCGCTGAAAGGGGAGCACTTAGGTTACGTTTTGATGGTGATGTCATATTTTAATGCATCTCTTGATTGATCTTTGCTGTTGCTGTAATTATCACTTATTAATTGGCACCATCAGGAATATTTTATGTATCTC